TGTGTGTGTGTATACGTGTGTGTGTATACGTGTGTGTGTGTGTATATATATATATATGTATAAAACAGCCCTGGTGGCGCAGTGGTTAAGACCTATGGCTGCTAACCAAAAGGTTGGCAGTTCTAATCTACTAACTACTCCTTGGAAACCCTATGGGGAAGTTCTACTCTGTTCTATAGGGTCACTATGAGTTGGAATAGACTTGATGGCAATGGGTTTGGTTTAGTTTTTAATATAAATATATATGTCTGTGTGTATGTATATATTATAATATATATACTGTATATATGCGTATAAGGAGCCCTGGTAGTGCAGTGCTTAAGGAGTCAGCTGCTAACCAAAAGGCTGGCTAGTCAAACGCACCAATGGCTCTGTGGGAGAAAAGACTTGGCAACTTGCTCTCGTAGAGATTACAGCCTAGAAAACCCTAGGAGGCAGTTCTAATCTGTCATATAGGGTTGCTATGAGTTGGAAATGACTCGACAGCATACAAACAAAATTTATTGTTTTATATATATATATATATATATATATAGTAGGCAGGAAAAGTTGATCATAAGAGACTTTACAATAAAAGCTATTTTTTGGTGCAGTGAATTGCTTAATATGGCCCTTTTAGCCATTCATGGTCTTGAGATTCCCACAAAATTATTGGGTGGGCTATGCAAAAAAGGTGTTAGTGGCCCACCAAGGGGATTGGACAGTCTGCTGATAATGCAAATAAGGTGCATGGCACCCTCGCAGGGGTTTTTCATGCAAATAAGGTATATGGAACCTTAAGAAGGGGATTGGTCAGTTTTGCCATCCCACTAGGCTTAAAATGAGCTAATCCCAGAGGCTGCAGTGGGGACCTCACTGCTATCAAGAAAGAAGAGCCAGAAGTGGAATGCATCCTTTGGACTTGCGGTCCCTGCACTGAGAACCTCCTAGACACAGGAGACAGAGAGCTGTAACAGCAGAGAAGGCACAAGACTGTGAAAAGCGGCAGTGAGTATGGCAGAGAAAAGGCAGCAGCAGAACCAGGAGACTGGAATGGGATGACACAGTGGGCTTCCTGGCCCACAAAGTGAGGCGGCTACAGTGGGCACGCTGACCCACAGAGCAAGAGAGCTGAGCGCCTTCAGGAAGGAGGCTTGCTGGTGGAGTAGGGTACCTCTGGGCACTTGTCATTGGAGCTAAAAAGCTGTAACACTTGCCTGATTTTGCAATTTTTCCTCATATTTACAGTATTATTTTCTAAATTTTATAAAATGAATACACATTATTTTAAAATAAGAAAAACAAGTTGTTTTTGAATGGTAGAAGCAGCTGATCTAGCAAGAAAGCTCACCCCAGAGCTGCTAATTTCTGTAGATCTGTCAGGTCCCACCCTGCTGTAAACTGAGGCTGGGATGCTGGGGACAGGTTTAGTATCTTGGAACCTATGGGTGGTTTAGTATCATGGTACCTATGGGTGGTGAGAGATGTGGTTTTCCTAAGCGTTTGCACATGAAGGTAATGGCAGCTTATCCTCATATGTTGCTGTTCATACCTCTGTAGACCAAACTAGTCTCAGAGAATAGAACATTTATTTTAATGCTTGATGTCTGGTGAGGAAGGAAACATAATGCCTTTTTGTTTTATGTTTGTAAAGGCTTTTAAAAAAAAGCCAGGAAGGACCCTTTTTCCTTGTGCAATACTAGGAATTTTTGAGTCAGGTTTCTTATTAGAAAAACTGTTGATTTTCAAGTTCTACGATGCACTTTTTAAACATTTTTTAAACTGATACCCTTTTATTTCCTGTGATCATAAAGCTCTAGGTATAAAAATGTTATGGAAAAAAAGTTACTGTTATTCTTGTCACTAGTACATTTGGTCAAAACTACAAAAATTGAGCACAATTGTTTAAAACAACACAAACTCTACAAGTTTTGAACAATAAAATTTAAATATGCCGCATAAAATTCTTACTGGAAATGCATTTCTTAGTGGGACTGTTTTGCAAAACACCAGGCTAGATGAATCAGACCTGATTAGAAAGAGGTGATAATTTAGTAAAAGAGAAAAGTACGTCATAAATAACAAAAATGTATGGCAGAACACAATGAGCACTGTAAGATAGGTCAAACAACCTGTGGACGGAGTTTAGAGGTGTGTGTGAGGATGACCTCAGGCTAGGAATCTGAGCTTTTATCTTTCCAAATGCAACAAAACATGCAAACGATAGCAGCATCTGATACCATACCTTGTATTAAGAGACTGCTCAAAGTTCCCTCTAAGTGCTAACTTCTTTCTTATTTACAAGTCTTTGCTTTTGCTGTTCCCATGGCTTAAAATATCACTCCCTTTATTTTCTGCCTTCTAAAATCCTACTCATTCTGCTAGACCCAGCCTAAATACCATGTTGTTTATAATTTCCCTAAAACCTCATCTTCATTAAATACGGCTGTCTCTGAACTCACAGGGTACACTGCTTGTAGCACTATTTAGTATTTGCTTCATTTTGCTTTATACTATACGCATCTGTCTCTCAAGTCAAACTGACTTCCTTAGGTTTAATTCATCTTTCTGACCTCAGCAGCATCTAATACCATGCCCTGGATACAGAAGCAGTGTTTTAATGGAGAAAGAACATAGGTTCAGAGAGCAGCACATATGGATTCTGATCCTAGCTCTGTCATTTACTAGTTGCTTGACCTTGGTCTTACTTAACCTTTCTATGCCTCCATTTCTCCATCTGAATAGGAACTAACAATATTTTCTTTTCAAAATTATAGTAAAGATTAGACATAATAAATGTAAAATGTCTGTTATATAATAGATTGTCACCAAATGATAGCTATTACAAATTTTACTACAAATAAATATAACAAAGAGCTTGTCGAGTAATCATATAAAATGACCTAGTGTCCACAGTAACTAGCACCGCTCTGAACACACCATAAAGCTTGTAAATACATCTTGACTTTAACATGTGGAGGCTGCCGTCCCTATTGTCAAGGACCTACCTTGAACTCTTTCTCAATGTTGGCCAGCACTTCCAGCTCATTGCTAAGTACTAAGGCTGTCATGACTGGATCTTCACTGGACAATGACAGGTAAGCAGGACTTGCCAAGCCTTTATAGGCATTAATCCTAGATCTTGAGTGGCTAAAGGAATCATACTTCTGTTTCTGGTTGCATTCACTGCACTTGCAGAAATAATCATGAGGTCGTTCAATCCGAGCACCCTTCCGCAGGAGGATATGCACAATTTCATATTCTTGGCAGTGTGCAGCCAGGATGATTGGAGTTACATCATGGGAGAACCGTGTCCCATCTTCATCATAAGCATAAAAATCATCCTGCTGGAGTTCAGACTGACTGGGGCTGGTGGCTAGCCTCTTGCCTTCAGCAAAAGCTGGATGACCAAGAATTGCTTCCACAATGCGAACATAACCTTTACTAATGGCTAGAAGCAAGGCATCCCCAACTCGAGACAGGTTTTCTTTCTTGAGAAGAAGTTCTGTAATTTCCAAATGCTCGTTGGCCACTGCCAACTGCAGGGCATTCTGGCCCATGTAATCCACACAGTTAACGTTGAGTGAGAGGCATTCTTCTAACATCTTCCGCACCACTGGAATGTTGCCATATTCAGCTGCATCTAAAAAGCGTTCCTCCTCAATAGATAGGCTTGTTGAGCGATCACTAAACATGTAAGCTGGCCCTCGGTTCGCTAACCTTCTCCCCTTCTCACGGAGAACTGTCTGCCGCCGGTGAGCCAGTCTGTTGTCAGTGCCCCGGCTGCAATGGAATAGAAAGATTGTGAACAAATCATATTAACAGCATTTTAGTGTGCCAAATGACCTGCCATTTGTCTAATGCAATCTTCAAGTATATTAGATGGTTGTCTCATCATCTCTAGACCAGCCCTATTACAAAATGAACATGCATTTATATGTTAATGGATTCCAAGAACTTCTCCTTTATGAAAGCCAAGCACTTTGCAGCAATAGAAAGGAAATTAGTAAAATTTCAGTATTTCAGAAATTGATTATGGTTCTCCAAAGAGCTTGAAGAGTATACTGCCATATTCACAAATACTTCTCATTCAGCAGTGATTCCTTTAGACATCCAAAGCCTATACAATACCAAACAAATCGATATTTTATTAAAAAGACAACTTTGCAAATTTAAAAAATGATGTGAAAGGCCAACAGCTGGGCAAACAGCATGATACTAATAATTTCTAAGATAGCCCTTTAGATAATGTACATATAACTTGTATTAACTAATAAGGGAATGATTTCTACAACTATTTTGTTTTGTATAGCTATTATTTTGCTTTCAATCTCATTTTTATTTTTATCAAAATAAAAACTATGCATGCACATATTTTAAGGACTCTGTATAAGAATTGTTAATAGAAAGAACAGTCCCTTGTCCCTCATTTCCTGATCCCCAAACCCACTGCAGTCGAGATGATTTCAACTCATAGTAAGCCTATAGACAGAGTAGAACTGGTCTATAGGGTTTCCAAAGAGTGGATGGTGGATTCCAACTGCTGACCTTTTGATGAGCAGCTGAGCTCTTAACCACTGCACTACCAGGGCTCTGATTGGCAATAAATTTTAACTCTTTTGGCTGGTTATTTTATCATTTAAATTCTTGATTTTTTAGGTTTTGCTTTATCTATAGATTTTCCACTATGAAAGCTGAGAATTTTGCCCACCATACCTTCACATCCCTCTCTTTCACACACACACATAGAAACACACAAACACATTTCATGATCCCTTATCATTCTAGTACAGTTATATCATAATCCTTATTAGAGGAATATTTACTGTTTACATTATGACAATGCAAATGCTAGTCATAGCTAATACAAGTAGTATACTATGGTGTATTTTCTGGTACAGCGTCCCTATATTTTGAAATCCAGTGGTTAAAAGCTTTTTTTCTATTCATTTGCTTAATGCTCCATATATGTATCATTAATTCAACCCGAACTCTCCAATTCTGTACATTTTTCAATATAGTTAATATATAATTGCTTTTTGAACTTCAGCTTCTTAAGGAATTTCTCCTATAACTTTCTAACCTGCTAATGTTGACCAGCAACTTTACACGTGGACCTCACCAAATGGAAAACACAGGAATCAAAAAGACTACATCTCTGGAAAAAGAGGATGGAGAAGCTCAATACCATCAGTCAGAACAAGGCCAGGGACCAGCTGCAGAACAGACTATCAATTGCTCATACGCAAATCCAAGTGAAGCTGAAGAAAATTAGAGCAAGTACAAAATAGCAAAAATATGACCTTGAGTATATCCCACCTAAATTTAGAGAACATATCAAGACTAGATTTGAAGCACTGAACACTAGTGACCAAAGACCAGATGAGCTGTGGAAGGACACCATACATGAAGAAAGCAAAAATTCATTAAAAAGACAGGAAAGAAAGAAAAGACCAAAATGGATGTCAGAAGAGACTCTGAAGTTTGTTCTTGAATGTCGAGTAACTAAAGCAAATGGAAGAAATGATGAAGTAAAAGAGCTGAACGGAAGGTTTCGAAGGGCGACTCTAGAAGACAAAGTAAAGTTTTATAATGACATGTGCAAAGATCTGTAGTTAGAAAACCAAAAGGGAAGAACACGCTTGGCATGTCTCAGACTGAAAGAACTGAAGAAAAAATTCAAGCCTCAAATTGCAATTCTGAAGGATTCTATGGGGAAAATATTGAACGATGCAGGAAGCATCAAAAGAAGATGAAAGGAATACAGACAGTCACTGTATCAAAAAGAATTGGTTGACGTTCAACCATTTCAGGCGGTAGCATATGATCAAGAACCTCTGGTACTAAAGGAAGAAGTCCAAGCTGTGCAGAAGGGAATGGTGAAAAACAAGGCTCCAGGAATTGATGGAATACCAATTGAGATGTTTCAACAAATGGATGCAGTGTGGAGGTGCTCACTCGTCTATGTCAAGAAATTTGGAAGACAGCTACCTGGCCAACTGACTGGAAAAGATCCATATTTGTGCCCATTTCAAAGAAGGGTGGTCCAACAGAATGCGGAAATTATTGAACAATATCATCAATATCACACGCAAGTAAAGTTTACTAAAGATCATTCAAAAACAGTTGCAGCAGTACATTGACGGTGAACTGCCAGAAGTTCAAACCAGATTCAGAAGAGGATGTGGAATGAGGGCTATCATTGCTGATGTCTGATGAATCCTAGCTGAAAGTAGAGAATACCAGAAAGATGTTTACCTGTGTTTTGTTGACTATGCAAAGGCATTTGACTGTGTATATCATAACAAATTATGGATAACACTGCGAAGAATGGGAATTCCAGAATACCTAATTGTGCCCATGAGGAATTTGTACATAGACCAAGAGGCAGTCATTAGAACAGAACAAGGGGATACGATGTGGTTTAAAGTCAGGAAAGGTGTGTGTCAAAGTTGTATCCTTTCACTACACTTATTCAATCTGTACACTGAACAAATAATCCAAGAAGCTGGACTCTATGAAGAAGAATGGGGCATCAGGATTGGAGGAAGACTCATTAACAGCATGTGATATGCAGATGATACAACATGACTTTCAGTTATGGTGCTTGTGAAGAATATTGACTATACCATGGACTGCCAGAAGAATGAACATATCTATCTTGGAAGAAGTACAGCCAGAATGCTCCCTAGAAGCAAGGATGGCGAGACTTCATCTCATGTACTTTGGAAATCTTATCAGGAGGGACCAGTCCCTGGAGAAGGACATCATGGTTGGTAAAGTAGAGGGCCAGTAAAAAAGAGGAAGACTCTCAATGAGATGGACTGATGCAGTGGCTGAAACAATGGGCTCAAACACAGCAGTGATTGTGAGGATGGTGCAGGACCGGGCAGTGTTTCATTCTGTTATACGTGGTGTCGCTGTGAGTTGCAACTGACTCAATAGCACCTAACTGTCTAGAACTGCACATATGTTAACTTTGAATCTTCCTTTTAGCATCATCCCAAAGATTCCCTTTACTTTGCTTCTGTGTGGCTTCCTTGTTTTTTGGATCCTAGATCTTCCTATTTCTTAGGTTACTCCCTTGTTCTAATACAGCACATCTTCCAGTAGCTGCCTGAAGAAGCATGCATGGGAGGTGTTTTAGTTAACTAGAGCTGCCATAACAGAAATACCACAAGTGGGTGGCTTTAAAGAACAGAAATTTCTTTTCTCACAGTTCAGGAGGCTAGAAGTCCAAATCAGGGCATGGCCCTACGGGGAGGTCCTTCTTTGTCTATTTCAGCTTCTAGTAGCCAGCAATCCTTGGTGTTGTCAGACAGGGTCTGCCCCCTACCTCCCAGTCTGTGTCTGTTCTGGTCTTTGTATAACTCAAAAGTGATTAGGTTTAGGACCCACCCTACACTGGTATAGCCTCATTAACATAAAAAAACTCTATTTCTAAACAGGATCACATCTATAGGTACAAAGGTTGGAAATTCAACATATATTTTTGGGAGACACAACTCAGTCTATAACAGGAGTTAAATTTCTTGTGATGTATGTCTGAAAATGACTTTTTTCTATGTTCAAACTTAATTGATAGTTTGGCTTAGAAGAGAATTCTAGGTTGACAGTAATTTTGAAGGCCTCTCTCTGTTAGGTTCTAGTTTTTGTAGTTGCTGTTGAGAGATACGGTACAATTTTCATTCTGGATCTTCTCTTTGTCTTTGGTTTCCTAAGATTAAATAATTCTTTCTTGGAAGGAGCCTCTTTTTCTTCATAGTGCTGGGTACTCAGTAAGCCCTTTTAATCTAGGAAAAATATGTCCTTCAGTTCTGAGAAATATTTTTGACCTACTTCTGTAATAATTTTGTTGCTGCTTTCAGTGTTCTTTGTTTCTGGAATTCCTCTTTGGATGCTGGACATTCTTCAATTGTCATTAAATTTTCTTATCTTTTCTCTCTTATTTTCCAATTATTCATCTTTTGCATTACTTTTCTGGAAGATTTCCTCAACTTTTATCTTCTAATATGTCTACAGAATTTTTTTGTTGTTAATTTTTAATTTCTAAGAAGACCTTTTTGTTCTTCAAATGTTTCTTTTTATAGCACTTTTTTCTTTCAAAGATGCAGTATCTTCACTTATCTCTCTGGGAATATTAGTGATGAAGACTCTGCACAGGTCAGAATATTTCAGAGAACTTCCACCTAAACTGCTATTTTATGTTTGCTTGCTTTAGCCTCAATATTTTACCTTAGAGTTTTTCCCCAAACGACTGGTGATCCTTGGTATACATATTCTTTTCTATTTTTTGAAAATAAAAATTACTTCTAATGTCATTTATTAAAGAGTGCAATTTAGTCTACTCTTGGTTTTGGCAAAAGGTGATTCTTGTGCTAGGCATAAGTTTCTAGAAGAGCAGCAGTATCTCTGAGTTAATAGGATAGATGAAGTAGAAGACACTGAAGGTCACTGAGGTTGGTTAGATGAGCAATCATCCATCATCATCATCCTCAAACTGAAACCCTCTTCCCTTCCTCTGTTACTTTTCTGGCTTCTAATAACCTCTTTAGCCTTTCACGTCTTCTCTTGTCTTCTGTATGTATTTCTTTTCTTAGTTTCTGTTGTAGACAAGAGGAAGTTCAAAGATTAGGAGGAGAGGGAGGTGTGTGCTGAACACTGACAAGGCTTTGGAAAAGAAAAAGTATAAAATTACGGAACAAAAGAACTAGGATCAGGAGATTTATACAAGCATTGGGAATGAGAACTTGCAAGAAAAGTTCTCCTGTGTAACTAAAAAA